GCCCAGCTAATTTTTTGTGTGTATTTGTGTAGAGATAGGGTTTGACCATGTTGTTTTAATGAATAATGATTAATAAAAATGTAGATTAAATAAACTATATTTATTACAACCAATAAATATGGTTGCATGTACCTGTAATACCAACTACTCAGGAAGCTGATGTGGGAGGATCATTTGGGATGGGGAGGTTGAGGCTGCAGTGAGCCATGATCACACCACTGCACTCCAACCTGTGTGACAGAGACCTTATCTCAAAAAAAGACCCCAAAAATAAACAAAAAATGAAAGAAGAAAGAAGGGCTCTTTTCTGTGGCGCCCTGAAGGCATATAGCTGCTTCAAGATGAAGCTGAACATCTCCTTCCCAGCCACTGGCTGCCAGAAACTCATTGAAGTGGACAATGAACGCAAACTTCGTACTTTTTATGAGAAGCGTATGGTGACAGAAGTTGCTGCTGATGCTCTGGGTGAAGAATGGAAGGGTTATGTGGTCCGAATCAGTGGTGGGAACGACAAACAAGATTTCCCCATGAAGCAGGGTGTCTTGACCCATGGCCATGCCCACCTGCTACTGAGTAAGGGGCATTCCTGTTACAGACCAAGGAGAACTGGAGAAAGAAAGAGAAAATCAGTTCATGGTTGCATTGTGGATGCTAATCTGAGCGTTCTCAACTTGATTATTGTAAAAAAAAAAGGAGACAAGGATATTCCTGGACTAACTGATACCACCGTGCCTCGTCGCCTCAAGCCCAAAAGAGCTAGCAGAATCCGAAAACTTTTCAATCTCTCTAAAGAAGATGATGTCCACCAGTACGCTGTAAGAATGCCCTTAAACAAAGAAGGTAAGAAACCTAGGACCAAAGCACCCAAGATTCAGCGTCTTGTTACTCCATGTGTCCTGCAGCACAAACGGCAGCGTATTGCTCTGATGAAGCAGCATACTAAGAAAAATAAGAGGCTGCATAATATGCTAAACTTTTGGCCAAGAGAATGAAGGAAGCTAAAGAGAAGCCCAGGAACAAATTGCGAACAGACACAGACTTTCGTCTTTGCGAGCTTCTACTTCTAAGTCTGAATCCAGTCAGAAATAAGATTTGAGTAACAAATAAAATCAGACTCAAAAAAAAAAAGAAGGAAGGAAGGAAAAAGAGAGAGAAAGAGAGACAGAGAAAGAAGAAAGAAAGATAAAAAGAAAGAAAGAAGAAAGAAAAAGAAAAGAAAGAAAGAAGGAAGAAGAAAGAAAGGAAAGAAAGAAAGAAAAGAAAGAAAGAAAGAAGAAAGAAAAAGAAAGAAAAAGGAGGGAAGGAGGAAGGAAGGAAGGAAAGAAGGAAGAAACGAACTGCAAAGACATATACCGAAACTTGAATACTGTCTCCAGCTATTCAGAGTGAACCTAAGGCCAGGCACAGCGGCTCACACCTATAATACTAGCACTTTGAGAGGCCAAGGTGGGTAGATTGCTTAAGCTCAGGAGTTTGAGACCAGCCTGGGCAACATTGTGAAATCCCATCTCTACAAAAAATACAAAAATTAGCCAGGCATGATGGTGCATGCCTGTGGTCCCAGCTACTCAGGAGGTTGAGGTGGGAGGATCACTTGAGCCCGGGAAGTTGAGGCTGCAGTGAGCCAAAATCACACCACTCCACTGCATTCCAGCCTGGGTGACAGAGCAAGACCCTGTAGAGAAAAAAAAGTGAACCTAGTAAATAATTTACTTTACCATTGGTAAAATATACAATGGGGGGTGTGTGTGTGTGTGTGTGTGTGTGTGTGTGTGTGTGTGTGTGTGGTGGTGGTGGTGGTCAAAATGATGGCTTCACAGAACCATCCCTCTGTTTTAAGAGCCTGGACTAATGTTTCTCCCCCCAAAGATGAAATCTTGCTCTGTTACCCAGGCTAGAGTGCAGTGGCACAATCTTGGCTCACTGCAACCTCTGCCTCCTGAGTTCAAGCGATCCTTCTGCCTCAGCCTCCCAAGTAGCTGGGATTACAGGCATGCATCACCAGACCTGGTTAGTTTTTATATATTTAGTAGAGATGTTAGAGGAGTGAGGAGTGTAGTGTACAGATATCTCAAATCACAGTTACAACAAAACTAGTCAAAATTTAGCATACACTTATCAGCTATACACATAATCCAAAAGTGTAGAAATAATTCCAGAACAAATGTTTAGAACATCACAGCAAAGTTGATAAAAGAGCCTGTTAACACTTTTTGCTCCTCAGCTAACCTCAACTTTGTTCAAAAAGGACGTCAGAGATGAGATCCAGTTGTGGCTGCAAATAACCCTGAATTCCTTCCTTTCCTCTCACTTCCTCCTCCCTGTCTGTGTCCTAAATCCACAGCTAAATCCACCTGTTCCCCTGGGAGATCATCCACTGTTTGCTCTCTGGAAGGAGAATTCTCAGATGCAAGGAATTCTGGTGATCTCATAAATGACACCACTGGAAAGGGCCTTTCCCTAGTCCAAGCAGACATGTGGCATCTCCTGATTAGCAAGTGTCTGCAAACAGTACACACACTTTCCAGAATGCGGATGTTTTCATTTTCTCAGAGTGAATTGTTTTTCCAAAATGTGCACTCTTTCACTTAACTCTGTATGAACAAGAGTGGACTGCTGTGGCTCCTCAAATCTAAGATCCACTAATTATAATATATACCATTATTGGCTGGGCACAGTGGCTCATGCCTGTAATCCCAGTGCCCTGGGAGGCTGAGGCGGGTGGATCATGAGGCGGGTGGATCACTGGCCAACATGGTTAAACGCCATCTCTACTAAAAATACAAAAATTAGCTGGGCGTGGTGGCGTGCGCCTCTAATCCTAGCTACTTGGGTGGCTGAGGCAGGAGAATCACTCGAACCAGGGAGTCAGCGGTTACAGTGAGCCGAAATCATGCCACTGCACTGCAGCCTGGATGACAGAGAGAGACTCTGTCTCAAAAAAACAAAAAGAAATTTTATGTGCCACTAAGAAAGAAAACATGCTGCTAATTATATAACTTAATGCTTTATTTTAGGTTTTTTTGTTTGTTTGTGGTGCGTGTGTGTGTTGTGTGTGTGTGTGTGTATTTGAGACAGGGTCTTGCTTGGTCACCCAGGCTGGAGTGCAGTGGCATGATCTCAGCTCACTGCAATCTCTGCCTCCAGGTTCAAGCAATTCTCCTGCCTTAGCCTCCCAAGTGGGCATATATTGAGAGATCTCCTAGAGAGGCTTTTAGGAAAAGCTGGTAGTATAGGTGCATGCCACCATGCCTGGCTAAGTTTTGTATTTTTTAGTAGAGATAGGGTTTCACCGTGTTGGCCAGGCTGTTCTCGAACTCCTGACCTCAGGTGATCTGCCCACCTCAGCCTCCTAAATAATGCTTTCTTACTGGAATTTTCCCACAGCTGTTGTTCCTGTGCCATCATCCTCTGTGTATTTCTTAAAGGGCTCCACTCTAGTCTTTAGGACCTTCTTCCAAGCGTCTGACACACATTCTACAAGTTTCATATAGGAGCTTTCTTTTTCTTTTTCTTTTTTTTTTTTGAAACAGAGTTTTGCTCTTGTTATCCAGGCTGGAGTGCAATGGCAAAGTCTCCACTCACTGCAATCTCCACCTCCCAGGTTCAAACAATTCTCCTGTCTCGGTCTCCCAAGTAGGTGGGATTATAGGCATCTACCACTACATCCAGCTAATTTTTGTATTTGTAGTAGAGACGGGGTTTCACCATATTGGCCAGGCTGGTCTAGAACTCCTGACCTCAAGTGATCTGCCCACCTTGGCCTCCCAAAGTGCTGGATTACAGGCATGAGCCACCGCTCCTGGCCAGGTGCTTTCTTAATCTTACTAGAAGATGACAACAAAAGGTTTTCAGGTAATCATTCAGGAGCACATTTTAAATAGCAATTAAATGCAACCCCAGTAATATAATCTGTACTGCTTCCTTTGCCACATCATCAAATATCCTCATTGGCTATAGGAGCCCAGGATTTCACTGTTTGGCAGTTTCAGGCCAATTATGAGCTATGAACTCATGACTTTCTAGTTCCACTCACCAAAAGACCATGGTGAGGATCATGGATAACAGCTCAGCTCAGACATAGACAGCACCCTTGGACTCCGCTTCACCTACCCAGTATACTTAGAAGAACTTTAACTCTTTCTAAGGCATTGACCTCACACTTGAAATAACAGTAAGGTTTAGAATTGAAATTAGTTTCTTATGTATACAAATTAGTGCTTTTTTTTGTTTGTTTTATTGAGACAGGGTCTCACTCTGTTGCCCAGGCTGGAGTGCAGTTGCAAGATCATAGCTCACTGTAACCTCAACCTCCCAGGCTCAGGTAATCCTCCCACATCAACCTCCCAAGTAGCTGGAACTACAGGCACACACTACACACCCAGCTAATTTCTGTATTTTTTGTAGAGACAAGATCTTGCTATGTTGCCTAGGCTGCTCTCAAACTCCTGGGCTCAAGTGATGGGCTTGCCTTGACTTCCCAAAGCGCTGGGATTACAGGTGTGAGCCATTGTGTACGGCCTGTATACATTTGATTTTCTATTTTTGTTTCTTTTACAAAAGATTTCATCATGAAAAGGAGGAAGCTCAAACTGAAGTGAGTTTAAAAACTTCATCTCCTAGAGAGGATTGTGGCTTGGCCTGAGTTGAGGTGAGATTTGATGGTTCTTATAGACAAACCATGTTGGCTGCAAGGCCACACAATCTCCTCCCCTTTTCTCTTTTCCTTCCTTTCCCCGTTCCTTCTTCTTCCACTTGCTTTACTTTCCAAGATTTATTTTCCTCTTTCTCTCTCCTGGGGACTCAATGTACTGAAAATGCTGCCTACAGCAGTGGTCCTCTTGGCAGCAGGGACCAGTTTTGTGAAAGACAATTTTTCCATGGACTTGGTCTCATAAGAAGCATGCAACTAAGAGCTAAGCCTCAGTTATGGGTGAATAGTCTGGAAAAGTGTTCTCAGTTTAGTACAGCTTTGACACCCTACTTCCAAAAAGGGATTGGAGAACGCTGCATGATGGAGAGAGTACCATTAATTTGGAAGATAGAAAATAATGGTCTGTGGGGGAATATATTGACAGACCTCCTAGAAGCCCTTTCCTTAATACCCTAATAAGTGTCTCTGGCCCCAGATCCCAGTCACTTTTTATTATATGTATCTATTTTCGAGTCTTGAGAGTCCCTATCATCCAACATCTTGTTTGAGTTTTCTTTTGGCTTGCTTACTACCTGTCTCCCTATAAAGTGTAAGCTCAAGAGGGCACGGCTCTTACCAGTCCTGTTTAGATATATGTATTAATACAAGTGCCTGGTGCAGTGTCAAGCATATCACAGATACTGATAAAGTGTGCTGAATAAATAAATGAAGCAATTTAATTCTGATATTAAATTCTCTCTGTATCCATTAATTGTATTTCTGTTCCCTCAGTGTTTTTGTTTATATGCAAGTGCAATGAAGAAGAACACCAGCAAACCTACCATGAGGATCAATAAGCAAGATGCTGTCTGCACCCCACACTCCCATGATCCAGGACATCTTCAAAATATGTTGGATGGAGGAGAGTATGGTCCTTTTGTATCTCCTCCCATGTTAGAGAGCAATTTTATCCAGGTAAATCATATTCAAGACCTGAGTTAAGTTCCAATAACTTCAGTAATTAATTTTCTCAAAGAAAACTGAAAAGGATGGGAGGAAAATTGTTTTAAATGTGCCAAGGGAATGTGTGATACTACTAAAGAGAACAGTTTGGGAACTTTTAAAAACCTGAAATAATTATAATGTTAAAGGACATTCATTTCAAATGTCCCCAATAAACTCTTGTGAAGGACTTCTGTCTTAACTCTACCATAATTGTCATTCTATCGCAATCTTCCCAAAATTACATGAAGCCATTTTTGGTATTTCCTGCCACAGGGAAACACACAGGTAACTTCTTTCTTAGGTGTAGAAGACATTCTAAAGAACATCTATGACACAACTAGGGGTTACAATGAATCTTAACTCTTAATTCTGAAGGTAAAATATAATTGTCAGATGGTGTTGGAAAGAAAAGCCTCCTTCTCATAAGAAGGTACCTACATTATGAATGAAACTACATTTCTGTGCATTTGGGAGCAATGCTAACTTTCTGTAAACATTCAACATTAAAATATTCAGACAAAGAAATGGTGAAATGAGTTCAATGATAGGGGTCATACCTTTAAAGCTCCTAGAAATTCTGCATCAAAGTCTAACACTAAACACTGAGCTATTACGTCTAATTCTTAACACATTTGAGCAGCTCTCAGCTGATTTCACAGAGGGGTGACAAGGGAGGACAACAGACTCTTCAAAAAGTAAGGAAACTTCATCTTCCATAAACACATTCTCTGCACCAATACTTGAGTACTAGTGTGAGCTCTTCACCTCCCAAAACATCTAATATTTTAGGATGTCCCTAGAATGTGTGTGACAAGTCATGATTTGATGTACTTTACCTTCTACATACTTCTTTCCTACTAATAATGTTTTTATTTCTTCACCTTTCATCTTGTGCCCTTTCCAAGTTAGTTACCTTTTGTGCACTCTAATGAAATTACATAGTACTTTTCCGACATTGTGGTAGTTAGCAGTCGATAGGTCAGACGTAGCCCCTATCATAATTTGATAAGTCATACCCTTCAAGATGCACAACCCCTGGTTAACATGTGTTTGGCAGCATGTTATCAAGATTCCTGACTGAACAGGTTTAAATGAAAAAAGAGAAACAATTAGGCTGGATACAGTGGCTCATGCCTGTAATCCCAGGACTTTGGAAGGCCAAGGCGGCAGGATTGCTTGAGGTCAGAAGTTCAAGACTGGGCTGGGTAACAAGTGAGACCCCCATCTCTAAAAGTATTTTTTTTTAATTAGCAAGGTGCAGTGCTGCACACCTATATTCCTAGCTACTTGAGAGGCTGAGGAGGGAGGATTGCTTGAGCCCAGGAGCTCCAGGCTGCAGTGAGCTAGGATGGGACTGCTGCACTCCAGCCTGGAGGTTAAGAGGAGACTTTGTAAAAACAAACAAACAAACAAATAAATACTTTTAAAAAAATAAAAAAGGAAGCAATTATCTCAAATAGAGTGAAAGAACCCCAGGGCAAAAGCTCACTCCCAGTAGAGGACCCAGGTTTTTTCTTTTTGCTCTATCACCTTGAAGCTAGCTCCCCTCAGGTCACCACATCCAAACAGGACAACTGCCAGAAGTAGAAGACATTCATCTCATCCTGGTGGCTCTGTCTCCTGGTGGCTCTGAGAAAGGCTTTTCAGGGTTGTAGGAGAGCCCCTCTATGTCTCACTGGTCACAGCCCCTGCTGAAACCAGTCACTGGCAAGGGGTAGAGTAGGACCACTACTATCCACTTAGGTTAATCGGGATTTAATCCCTCAGCTACGTCATTATCCCTGAGCCATGATAGTGGACAAAACCAAGATTCTGTTAATCAGGAAGAAGAGGGGCACAGTTTGGGATAGGTTATCGACAGTGTGAGCTACAACCTCTTTCTTTCAAATGATGCATTTTTTAATTGAACCAGTTATCATACAGTGGAGAAACTACAGTGTAGCTCCTCTCTGCCTTCCTTCACCTTCCTGCCTGCTAATCCTCCAGTCTCTTCTTCTACCAAGTGGCAGAGATTTTGGCCACGTTTCTTGGACTTTGAGATTTTTACACATGCTGTTCCTCTGCCTGGAAACCTCTCCTCTCCACCCAGCCAGTTTATTGCCCACAGGGTTTAGATATCAGCTAGAGGTCTCTTTCTCAGGGGAGACTTCCATGACCCCATATCCAGGAGTGTGCTGGAACTGGTTGCCTGGTAAGTATTCAGGAAATGTGTAAGTCAGTTCTTAAACACAGCCATTATTAAAAATTAAATTATAGGCCAGGTGCAGTGGCTCACTCCTGTAATCCTAGCACTTTGGGAGGCTGAGGCGGGCAGATCACCTGAGGTCAGGAGTTCAAGACCAGCACAGCCAACATGGTGAAACCCCATCTCTGCTAAAAACAGAAAAATTATCCAGACTTGGTAGTACATGCCTGTAATCCCAGCTACTCAGGAGGCTGAGGCAAGAGAATCACTTGAACCTGGGAGGCAGAGGTTGTAGTGAGCTGAGATCATGCCACGGCACTCCAGCCTGGGTGACAGAATGAGACTGTCTCAAAAAAAAAAATTATCTTCTCAAAAATTAAATTTTATAAACTTAAAATTATATTATATCTAAAATAAGGGAAATAAATATTCAAAACTCTTCATTCCTAATCTTTTACTACATTTTACTATTGTCTATATTTCTGAGGTTATAAATATAAGAAGAGTTTGGCAAGAGTTTGTGGAATTTATTAATTGGCTCTATGGAATTTAAACTAAAGACTAAAGAATATTGCATATTATTTGTACATTTGAGCTACTTGTCTTTTATGTCAGTAACATTTTAAATAAACTTATGTGTAAATGTCTGTACCTTCTAAGACCTAGCTGCTACCTGAACATCACTGCCTATCTCCCCACTTTAAGTCAAGTCCTGTGTTACATGTTCCTGTAACATCCTGAACTTGTACTTGGTAAAACTTCTTACAGTAATAATTAGTTACAAACTTAAATTGTTTAATGTTTGCCCTGGTAGACCCCCACGGGTCAGGGACTGTGCCTGTTCCCTGCGGTACCTCCAAGAATTAGCATGACCAAGTGAAGGAATAGATACACCATGGTTCATTTCTCCTTTATTTCCTGCCCTCTCTTACACTTCTCAGGCAAGCAAGGTTGTCAAAGCCACACATTTCATCAGATAACACCTTTTCCTGTTTTCTGCACTCAGGTCAACAGGAGAGGTGAATCCATTTACCTTCATAATCGAGCCAACTGGGTGACTGTAGGCATCTGTTCTTCCAGCTCCACCCACAAGATCCCCAATGTGATGCTACTGGCACATCTGACACCTGGTGCTCAAAAAGATACAGAACCCCTGTTTAAAAGTCTCCTGACATCTCCTCCTGCAGAGAAACTGGTGCTCACTAGGTGAGTTATAAAGACAGGAGGTTAAAGATCTCTCAGAAAATGTGCGTTACCCTTGCGGATCTGAAAATGGAAACACTGATGACAATTGTGCTAAAGGAGCATCTCACTCACACTCCCTGCTGCAAATGACAAAGAGGAGCATCCTTAAAGATGGGGGAAATCATGTATGATAAAGCATGTCAAACAGGCAGTTAATTTTTTAAAAAATTAAACCTAACTAACAGGAACTGAAGACTCATAATAAACTGCCTTTCTAGAACATGCCTCCTCTTCCCCAGCATCCCAGCTTCCAACAGAATTAACTCTGGTCTTGTCTCAGCCACTAACTTACTCTATGATCTTGAGCAAATTGCTTAACTTTAAGTCTCAACTTTGAAGGATGAATTTAAATGGACACTTTCTAATGGTAAATAGTTGGCATTCTGATGTGTTTTATTTGTTTTGTTTTGTTTTTGAGATGAAGTCTCACTCTGTCACCCCCAGGCTAGAGTGCAGTGGCACGATCTGGGCTCACTGCAACCTCCACCTCCTGAGTTCAAGCAATTCTTCTGTCTCAGCCTCCCAAGAAGCTGTGACTACAGGCCCACGTCACCACACTTGGCTAATTTTTGTATTTTTAGTAGAGACAGCGTTTCACCATATTGGTCAGGCTGGTATTGAACTTCTGACCTCAGGTGATCCACCAGCCTTGACCTCCCAAAGTGCTAGGATTACAGGCGTGAGCCATCGTGCCCAGTCCATTCTGATGTTTTTATACATCAGAGCCTTTGTCATATGATTAAGATGAGATGGTCCTCAGGAGCCCCTACCCAGACCTATCTGGGAGACAAGTCTGGTGTCTTGAGTCTCATTCTTCAAACTACCATAAAAAATAAGAAAGAGGCTGGGCATAGTGGCTCGTACCCGTAATCCCAGCACTTTGGGAAGCCAAGGCAGGTATATTGCTTGAGCCCAGGCATTCAAGACCAGCCTGGGCAACATGGTGAATCTTGTATCTACAAAAAATACAGAACTACCTTGTACAACTTGTCTCTACAAGAAATACAAAAACTAGCCAGGTGTGGTAGCGCATACCTATTGTCCCAGCTATTCAGGAGGATAAGGTGGGAGAATCACTTGGGCCCAGGAAGTCGAGGCTGCAGTGAGCCATGATCGCACCACCACTGCACTCCAAGGTAACAGAGTGATACCTTGTCTCAAAACAAACAACCAAAAAAACAAAAACTATATATATAGGCCTCCAATCAAGTCTCCAGATGATGTTACATGTGTGCTTGTTTGCAGGTTTCTCCCTCTGCAGTTTGTGACTCTTTCTGTGCATGATGCTGAGAACATGCGCCTGAAAGTAAAGCTGGTGAGTGGTCGAGCCTACTACTTACAGCTCTGCGCCTCTGCATGCAAACAGGACACCTTATTTTCTCAGTGGGTGGCCCTCATCTCCCTCCTGAATCAGGAGAAAGCCAAAGTTTCCAAAGTATCAGAGGTTTCAAGTCTCTCGGGAATTACGAATAGCACAGACATCACAGGCTCCATGGACGTGATGGATATCACAGCGTTCACAGCCATCGCGACCCCATACATGCATGCAGGTACAGGCCCTGTACGTGTCAGGGACAGCATAGATTTCTCGGAATTCACAGGCATCACTGACATCACAGATGTTACAGATCTTCCAGAAAATGAGGTCCCAGAGGTCCCAGATGTAAGAATTGTCACAGAAGTCACAGAAGTCACAGAAGCCACAGAAGTCACAGAAAACTTGGATGTTACAAAATGCTCAGGAGTCACAGTCGTGTTTGAAAACGATGACTTAATCAGGGCCAAGCAAGAGGAGGAGGTACGTGTCACCGAAGACTTTCATGCCTTAATAATCAAGAACTAGAGTGATTACCAAGATCACACTTCTTGGTTAGCTGACATTGATGATCAAGATGATATGGAACTGTAACCTAATTTTAATAGTGAAATTTGATCTCTGAATCCTTGTGTAAAGGAGTTGTAAGATGTTTCCTGAAATAGGCAGTGACCACCCTTAACATCAATCTTAGCCCAGTATCAGAAATGAAAATAACTTTGGAATCAGAATCAGAAGACCCAAGTTAGACTTAACCTGTGACATATTACTAGTGTGACTTTGCCCAAGTCACAGAATTCATGAGCCTCAGTTTTCTCACTTCTAAAATGAGGATATTAATACAATGAAAGGGTTATTTTCCAGTTTAAAAATATATAGCAGTATTCAGGATCTTGAAGGATGGGATGGAACTTTGATGGGTAAACACAAGGATGGAAATAGGATAATGAAAAACAAGTTGAGTGGCTTTAGAAAAGGCCAGAGAGTCATGTCCAAAAATGTTTTGTTCAGTTGGGCTGGAGGATAATATAGGTGGAGAATAGTAGAATATAGGATTGGAAAGTTGCTTAAAAGCCTTGAGAGTCAAATTTAAAAATGAGAACTTCACTATTTGAGCAAACCTTAGTGACCAAAGTCTCCTGTGTAAGGGAATGAAAAAGCTGTATTTTTAAAAGATTAAGCAAATGCAGGATGGATTATAGGTAAAGAGATCTGAAGACTACTGCTGAAAAACTTCCTCTAGGTCCACAATAGAAAAAATGCCAGTGCAGTGGCTCACACCTGTAATCCTGGCACTTTGGGAGGCCAAGACAGGTGAATTAGCCAGGCATGGTGGTATGTGCCTGTAGTCCCAGCTACTAGGGAGGCTGAGAGAGGAGGATTGCTTGAGCTTTGGAGACAGAGGTTGCAGTGAGCCGAGATCATGCCACTGCTCTCCAGCCTGGGTGACAGAGTCACACCCTGTCTCAAAAAAAAAAAAAGAAAGAAAGAAAAGAAAAATGGATGGCAGGGCTGGGCATGGTGACTCATGCTTGTAATCCCAGCACTTTGGGAGACTGAGACAGATGGATCACCTGAGGTCAGGAGTTCAAGACCAGCCTGGCCAGCATGGCAAAATCCTATCTCTACAAAAAACACAAAAATTAGCCATTGTGTTAGTGGGGACCTGTAATCCCAGCTACCTGGGAGGCTGAGGCAGGAGAATTGCTTGAACCTGGGAGGCACAGATTGCAGTGAGCTGAGATTGCGCCATTGCACTCCAGCCTGGGTGGCAGAGTGAGACCCTGTCTCAAAAAACAAAAACAAAACAAAACAGAAACACTAATTTTTAATTAGGAAAAATTCAAATTGTTCTACACAATTTTTAATAACAGGAGGAAAATGCTTACAATAAAATGTTAAGTGAAAAAGGAGATGGAACTTCAAGATGATCTCAAAGTAGACATAAACAAAATAAATAGACAAAAAGATGAGAGTAAAATGTGCATAGGAATAGTTGTTTCTGGGCAGTGACATTATACAAGCAATAATTTATTCTTATTATTTTGAGACAGTCTTACTCCATTGCCCAGGCTGGAGTGCAGTGGCAAGATCTCAGCTCAGTGCAATCTCTGCCTCTCAGGTTCAAGCGATTCTCATGCCTCAGCCTTCTGAGTATCTGGGATTACATGTGCCCACCACCATGCCCAGCTCATTTTTGTATTTTTAGTAGAGATGGGGTTTCTCCATGTTGCCCAGGCTGGTCTCAAACTCCTGGCCTCAAGTGATCCGCCCACCTTGGCAAGCAGTAATATACTATATTTAACTTTATTCATTATATGATTTTCCAAATATGCTATAATAAATATATATGACTTTTATTGTCAGGAGTTTTACCTTTAAGGAAGAAGATTATTGCATTATTTTCAAGGAAATGTAATAGAGGTGTATTAGGCCATTCTTGGATTACTATAAAGAAATATCTGAGGCTGAGCGATCAATAAAGAAAGGAGGGTTAATTGGCTCACGGGTCTGTAGGTGGTAAAGGAAGCACAATACGGCATCTGCTTCTGGTGAGGGCCTCAGGGGACTTACAATCATGGCAGAAAGGAAGGGGAGCCAGCACATCACATAGCGAGAGAGGGAGCAAAAGAAAGAGGAAAGAGGTGCTAGGCTCTTTTAAACACCAGATCTCACATCAACTCAGAGTGAGAACTCATTACAGTGAGGATAGCACCAAGCCATTCACAAGGGATCTGCCCCCAAGACCTAAACACCTCCTAGTAGGCCTACCTCCAACATTGGAGGTCACATTTCAACATGAGATTTTCAAGGGACAAAACCATATCAAGAAGTAATGGACTAGGCGGGGCAGTGGAAAGAAGAAGATGCAGACATGAAGAACATTAGAGAGCCAGCTTTAGGGCCTGCTAACCCTCATTGGCCTTGAGGCCTCAGTGATTCTGAGGGAATCAGAGAGCAGCTGGTAGAGATGGTACATTAACAGAAACTGGGAAATTAGGAGGAGAGGGGGTTTTAGAGTATTAAGTTTTAGATACAGGTTCTAAGTCATTTGACCAAAAAAATATTTTTTATATTATAAGTCCCCAACCCCTGTCACCTATTAGATGCTCTAATTAAGAGCAAACTGAGACTGGGGAATCAGTGGCATTTCTGGGAAACCTTTGTTGCACTGACAATTCACAGAGAAGTACTGTAATTAGAAGCCAAATGTCTTCTGTGAGGTGACAACACAAGCTTGGGAACATGTGTCAGGTTGCAGTGGGGCAGGCCCTGGCTACCACACAGCCTGCCGCCAGCACACTCTGGGCACTCCCCATGGTTGTACCACTCTAAGCCTCACTCCCTCCTTACTACTTACAGGAGCTCAGTGACAATGAATGAAATGGTGCCTGTATTAGATGCTGCTCCACAAACATCTATTAGCTGATGCTCTTCTGTTACCTGATTTGCTGCTGCTTTTTATTTTTAAAGGAAAAAATGAAAGACATTCTGCAGCCTGGGTGTCTACAAGATACAAAAAGTAAGAGTGAGTTGAAAGAATCCCCAAAACATGTCACCATCTCAAACATAACTGTGACTTTTGAAGGTAAAGGATATTTTCAAACTACCTTGACTCCAGTAGAAAGTGAGGCAAATACATCCAAGGAGATGGAGGATAAGACCTCTGAAGAAAAGACACCTGATTTTAAGAGCACGGCTCTCAAGGCTGAAGAATCCAGGTATGTGAGACAGGAAAATGCCAAAGCAATTCTAAGACATGAAATATTAGTAAAGAGGTGTGTGCTTTAGTCTTTCAACTCAGGACTCTGCCACTGAAGATTCTCAGAGACAGATGCAGTGTAACTGCATGATGATGTAGTCAACTCTGAATGACCCACATTTGGTTCAGCCTTGGATAACTTTTATTTTCATGCCAACTTCTCATGTTACTCAGTTGGCATTCTGGGCTGTCTACCTGAAGTCAATTGTATGTGCTTCAGAAAATATAACAGAGGCCGGGTGTGGTGACTCACGCCTGTAATCCTAGCACTTTGGTAGGCTAAGGCAGGTGGATCACCTGAGGTCAGAAGTTCAAACCAGCCTGGCCAACATGGCAAAACCCCAACTCTACTTAAAAACTTAGCCAGGCATAGTGGCAGGCACCTGTAATCCTAGTTATTCGGGAGGCTGAGGCACAAGACTCGCTTGAACCCATGAGGTGGAGGTTGCAGTGAGCTGAGAACACGCCACTGCACTCCAGCCTGGGTGACAGAGCAAGGCTCTGCCTCAAAAGAAAAAAGAAAGAAAATATAATAGAATCAGTGTTCACATATTTTGGAGTTGAGGCATTGACTTTAATAGTGATTATTAGTACTTTTTATTTCATTAAAGATACATCTTTATACTTCTCTATATTTTCTTCTATACATATTCTCTATGTATCCCTTATCTTTCTCTACACTTCCAACTAATAACTTTTCTTTTTCTTTTTTAAAGACTAGTCAAGTGCAGTAGTAAGAAAAGGAAAAAGTTAATCCTAGTTGTGACAATAAATGCTAGTCTTACAATCATAGCAGGGAAAATATAGTAAGCTTAGTATAAAATTAGGGAAATATTTAATATTAATCATTATTAAAATACAGAAGTGTAGAAAAACCACAATATTGTAAAAACATTTGATGATGTTTGATATTCTTGATCACAGAAAAGATTTACATAGTAGTGAGTTTTCTTTTAGCACAATAAAGAATATTTACCACAAACCAGAGCCTATATTATTTTTAATGAGGAAATTTAGAATTGTTCTATTTAGAACTTAGAACACAACATGGTGAAACCCCAGCTCTATAAAAAATACAAAAATTAGCCAGGAGTGGTGGTGGATTCCTGTAGTCCCAGCTGTTTGGAAGGCTGAGGTGGGAGGATTGCTTGAACCAGAGAGGTCAAGGCTACAGTGAGTCAAGATCATGCCACTGTACTCCAAGCTGGATGACACAGTGAGACCCTGTCTCAAACAAAAACAAAACTTAGAAAAAATTAGGAATGTTCCCATTAACATTTCTATGTAATATAAAAGTTTCTAGCAAGCTAACAGGACTTAGAAATACAAAGAAAATTAATAATAAATCTTTAAAATCACTTTTCAAATAGAAATTCATATTTAGAAAATTTGAGAATCAACAAAATTTTAGTTTCTTTAGAAAGGCTATAGATTATAAGATAAACGCAAAAAAAATAGTTTTAATTTACATGCCAAAAATATATTGAAAAAAGGGTGTATTTTTCAACAGCAACAACAAAAACCAAATATTTAGTGAGACTGATAAGAGATCTATATGAATGGAATTGTAAAACTTTAATGGCAGAAATAAAAGACAACTTGAATAAGGAAAACTTAATCCTCCCTCTGCATAAGTAGATTTAAATGCAATACCAATTAACATCTCAATAGGATATCTCATAGAAATCATAAAATTGTATAGAAAAAAAGGATGTGAAAAAAATAGGGGTAAATATCTCAAGGAAACAGGGTAAGAGGGGAGTGAGGGGTAAAACAGTACACACTGAGTACAGCTGTACACTGCTCAGATGATAGGTGCACCAAAATCTCAGAAATCACCACTAAAGAACTTATTCATGTAACAACAGCAAAAATCAGAAACCGGATCAATAGGTTCACATTTAAAACTTATAAAAAATTAACTGTCCAGTTGAGTGCTTAGCATTGCACTAGGTATGACCACCTCCCTGGCTTGTTGAGGATAAAATGTCAGTCTCCCTGTTCTAGGCAAGTGCTGACAGACAATCATGCATTTGGAAAGAAACTGTTGTTTCTGGCTCACCTACTGCAGGCTCTTAGCTGCTTTCTCTGTTTCATTTGTTATGTATTTAATCTTTATAAGCTGCCTATCATTGGTTTGTACCAATGATAGCATAAAGCTAGGATGATGGCAATATATTCCCTAGTTCTTTCACTTACAGTTTTTATCTTCCCAACTGGATTATAAGCACCTTGCAGGTAGGGGGCACTCTTCTTTGTATGGTATCCTTCACACCTCTTAGACCACATGCTGGACACAGAGAAGGGCTCAAACTGGCTTGGTGAATTAAAAGAACAATGTAATATATTACTATAATTTTGGAAACTATTTTGTACATGGTGAAAATATTTTCATTAGAAACTTGGGACTTACAAAAACTGGCTAATATAAAGGAAAGCAGAAATGCTAGGATAATTGTTTTGCATTGTCAAAAATATTCTATTGTGCATTCAAAAAAAGTTTTCCAATTCCTATACTATTCTAATTTAGCATGTTTGATTTTCCATATTAAAAAGTTAAAGAAAAAATCTCAAGGAAACAATTGGAATGGAAAGTGTCAACAGTCTACTCAGTCCTATAAAATCTTAAGCCATGTTATAATTAAATGCCCACCAGAACTACCAGTACAAAGATTAGAATATAGAAATAAAAATATAACCAGGCACAATGGCTCATGCTTATAATGCCAGCACTTTGGGAGCCTGAGGTGGGAGGATCATCCTGAGCAAGACCCTGTCACTACAAAGATAATTTTAAAGTAGCCAGGTGTGATGGCATGTGACTATAGTCTTAGCTACAGGAAAGGCTGAGGCAGGAGGATCTTTTGAGCCCAGGAGTTCAAGGTTACAGTAAGCTATGAACACGTCACTGCACCCCAGCCTGTCTCAAAAAAAAAAAAAAGATACAAAAATAGATCCAAACTGATATGAATTCAAAAGCATGGAAAAAGCAAAATTCTAGGAAAATATTGGTCAAAGATTTATGAAATACCATTAAAAAATTCAGATAAGAGTAAATTATTTTAAAACTAACTATAATGAGCCAGAAGAAAATGGGATGGTATCATTGCCTCATTTACAGAGGAAAGATCATTTATTGTCTACTGACACAATAATAGTAATTTTCAATGGCAGAATTTGCATCATTCACTCAAAAATATTTATGAGCACTTCCTATGCACTAGGCACTGAGGATACAGCAGCAAAAATGATCAAGTCCCTATCTCATGAAGTGTTTTATTCTAGTGGGGGACACAGATAATACATGTTATGCCAGCTGGAATGTGCTGTGATGAAAATAAAAGGAGAATATAGAGTGAAAGTGATTAGAGGAAGATGGAGAGTCATTTTATACAGGTGGTCAAGGCCATTTGAGCAGAGATCTAAGGAAGTATGAACCTCTGGGGGAACAGAGTTCCAAGTTGATTGACTACATAACAACTACAAATATCTGCCAAATAAATCATTTTTTTAAAATAAATACATTTCTAACACAAATACCCATCAATGATAGACTGAATAAAGAAAATGTGGCACATATACACCATGGAATACTATGCAACCATAAAAAAGGTTCATGTCCTTTGCAGGGACGTGGATGAAGCCAGAAACCATCATTCTCAGCAAACTGACACAAGAACAGAAAACCAAACACCACATGTTGTCACTCATAAGTGGGTGTTGAACAATGAGAACACATGGACACAGGGAGGGGAACATCATACTCTAGGGCCTGTCGGGGGGTGGAAGGCTACGGCAGGGATAGCAAGAGGTGGTGGGGCAGGTAGGGGAGGGATAGCAGGGGGCAGAGGGATAGGGGAGATATAGCATTAGGAGAAATACCTAGTTTAGATGACAGGGTGATGAATGCAGCAAGCCACTGTGGCACATGTATACCTATATAATAAACCTACATGTTCTGCATATGTACTCCAGAACTTAAAGTATAATAATAAATAAATAAATACATTCATAAATGTATGACAACAGAGGAGAGAAAGCATAATAGATTACCTTTATATACAAGTAGCTGGTAGGAATTTGTAAGGGATACAATTAACAAATAATTTAAGGACATAAATAGAAAATTTACTCCAGAAGACAACTATTTGAGAAGGAATCAATCTCACTAATAATTAAAGAAATACAGTTAAGCAATTACCAGTTAGCTTTTCATTAGGTGTCAACATTCATGGTGTCACTGTAAATGGTTGTCAATTCACACCCCAAATGTTTGTACTCCTTTACTTATAGTAACATATGTCAAAGAAATAACTCAAAGGGGAAAATAACTTATCTGAACATGGCATTTCATAATGAAAACCTCTAAGTAATCCAAATGCTCACTGGTAGGAAAATGGCTAACCAGGAAATAGTATGTCAATTCAGTGAAACAACAGAGCCCCATTAAAAAAAAAGCCATAGCTAGAATTTCAATGAAAAGAGCTATGGCTGGCATGGTGGCTCCTGCCTGTAATCCCAGCATTTTGGGAGGCTGAGACAGGAGGATTGCTTGAGCCCAGGAGTAAGGGATCCAATTAACAAATGTTAATTAATTTGAGCCTGGAGTTCGAAACCCAGCTGGGCAACATAGGGAGACCCTGTCTGTATTTAAAAAAAAAAAAAAAAAAAAAAAAAAAAAAAAAGCAGAAAAAGAGGAAAGAAAAAAAGAGCTACATGACTAATAAGGAATTATAAGCTGGAAAAGCAAAAACTTCCAAAAAATGTAAATACAATGGTATTTTATTTCTATAGTCTGGGAAGAAACCACACTTTGGGCATAGTTGATGATTAATGGAATAAATATTTGCTGTAGCTATTGATAGATGCTTCTATTAAATTTTTTATTATATAATTAATTACACATATAATTTAAAAAGTAAATGGGGCTGGGTGGAGTGGCTCATGCCTGTAATTGCA